TTTTCATTCATAACTCAAATTACTATGTAAACAGAAATTTCGGAAATTATTTTTCATTGTAACTCATAAAAGTTATGATTGATTTTCTTCAATTGATTGATTTGGATCTGGATTTTGTTGTGAGTCGTGAACACAAAAACATGTTTACAACGAGTAATTATTGCCAAATAACTGAAAAACATCAATCATCAACTAAGCGATTAGATTTTGGAAGGAATATTGACTGCTGATTGATTGCTATGGAGATAAACTTTTAAAAAGATTCTTCACCATTGACAGATAGGGCTGTATGATTTCTTGAGAAAACAATCATATTCAGGACTCAATTTGCTCTGAACTTACAATGGAAATTATGAAGTATCAGAGAATGATAAATGTATAATAGGGTGAAGGGTATTAGTGAGGGTGTGTCGCTTCTACAGTTGAGGTTGACGCTCTCAGTATGCCTTCTAGTTTTATTTGTTTCTCACTAGCCGCGGGTTTTTGACACAACGAAGAGTGAACCCACGTTAGCAAACAACATGGATCATAGCCGTTAGACGATAGGGAATTGTAATACTGTATACATGATTGTGTCATATGGCGACAAAGCTGTCACGTGACTAGGTGCCGGGTGCAGTGATTCACTTGTAAAAATCACGTGCACGATACGACGTCATGAACTTCTGCGTTCAACGTTTCAGTGCACGGTTTAAAAATTTGTTTAGACGGAATCCTGAACAGTCATTTTATTTTGACGCCTAATATTTCGATAATAATGGTTGTCAGAGTCTCTGGGGTACATTTCTCAGAGAATTCCCAGACATCGACGTCGGCTGCCCCAGGCACCAACAACATCCAGAAATTGTATTCCCGGCATGCTGTGTTTACTGTGAAACTTGATGCAGCCATGCCATGTTATCATTTGTACTACAACATATCTGTAGCAATATAATAATGAAACATAGACCAGACATGCAGAAATTTCCCTCTACAGGAAGTGCTTTCCTATTAGGGTTCAAGTTGCGCCCTCTTAGTCTACTCGTCAGTCGGTGCCATAGTTCACTGCCACAGTGCACTAACCACGAACACAAATTGAAACGCACACTCCAAGTCGAGGCGAGGCGAGAGCAACTGTAGCTAAAGTATGTGTTGACATAGTAGGGATTTTCGCGAGCGCATTTCTTCCGAGTTGCATTCTGAGGTGGAAATACGATATCTGTTGCAAGTTGCATTTTTGAATAATATCTCGGCAGGAAACGAAGGCGTGTGACTGCAAGCAGACTGTAAAGTGACGGTCATTGTCCCATAGTCCACATTTAGTTCAACTCATACTTCACTTCAATTGAACAGGACAGCGTTACTACACAGACTAGCACAATGATTAACGGTCACGTTAGCGGAGATTGTATGACAAACTATACTAACTACCGGGACGTTTTGAGTTTCGCGCGAGATCCATGTCTTACCGTACGCACATGTCAATCCTCACCAAGAGACGTGTGCAATGTATATTTGTTATTTTGTAACGGAGATCATACAGACAGATAACAACGGAACGCTCGTAAACGGATAAACTGAAATATGTTACAGTGAAATAAACTCTGAACCCAGCGTTTTGAAATGCAATTGAGCCGCGGGTATCACAAACAGAACGGTTGACAGATATATCGGCATTTACAAGTGGGTGTCCGTTTTTTGTGTAATAAGTGAGAGAACACGAAATGTATATGTTCCGGTTCCGGTTACAACGATTACAAATCAAAATCAGCAGATGTTTGATTATATACTAGCCCCTGTGCTGTTCAAACTCAAATTGCTGAAAAGGATCACAAATATAGCGAGTTTCATGATGATTGCGTATTGTTATTCCACACCGCCTTTTCCGCGTGGCATAAATCTATTTTGATATACCAGTATAGTGACGTTTAGGGAAGACATTCTATCTGCATGTTTTTGTCGCCATAAAATATAAAAACAAATACTGTAAAATGACTAATTTTCACTGGGTTTAAATTTCACTGATTTACCATTTCAGGCATATTCAGTGGGTTTTAAATTCACGGTTTCGTTATTTGGATAATGTGTTCTATGCTAAATATTACATATTCACTGTGTTTTAATTTAGCGCATTTTTCCAGTCAGCGAAATAAGCTAAATTAAAACCCAGTGAATAATTACCCCCTTTACAGTAATCAACGTGATATAATATTATGTGTGTTATTTCATTCAAATATGTTAAATATTTTCAAAATGTATACAATTATACTTTTTAGCTCCACACAGCAAATTTCTTATTTTATCACATTGCCTGATAAACAGCAATTTCCTAGTGAAATATGACGCACTTGTTTTCATTCCCTGTAAACAGAGAATTTTACAATCTGTAAATATTAGTAATCGCTAACAGGCCGCACCAACACAGACAGACCGGAAATTTCTTTTATTCAACTTTTTATCACATAAATAATAGATGACATTTACGATTTCTGACAAACTTTAGTCCAAAGAACGAACAGGTCACACTAAAAAGTTCGACGGAGTTGTGGAACAAATTCACGAACATCGTAACATATACCCGGAAGCGAGTGAAATATTCTAAGCGTGTTTCCAATCTATATAACCACTTAGCCGGCGAAGTGTGTGGCGAACACGCGATATCTCCACAGTCAATCGATCTTTTCCGCTTAATAGTAAACGGCGCAATGACTCACAGAAACGCCAGAGTTTGAATTCAGATGGATTTCCATTATGAAGCGACAATTCCTTTTTTCTGGGTGTGAATTTCTGTAAAATGGATACTAGTATATGCACTCATTGTATCACGTTTGGTTAAGGTGAACCATACGCGAATTCGCCGTGAACAATTCATCTGGTTACCAGCTTGTGTGTTCGATTTGCACCCGCCCCCGAAATAACTTCCATGTGTCCCCAAAGCAACATTTGATTATGAAGACCTTGAATAATAACACCTTCAGGACAAAACAACTTTGAACTAGGACATCACATAGATCATCCAAAAGCGTTACAACAATTCCCAAACACGGCTTCAGCACGATACATGTAAACAGCTCTCATTTGTACACCGCACATGTCGTACACAGTGTATGTCAACAAATTGATGTTGACACACTTCACAAGGACACGTCGCTAAAACATACCTGCGTTGTGTGAGTGAAAGCACGTTTTATACCGGATGTGTAATTATTCCAAGTCAGGGGTTGGTGACGGGGGGGGGGGTGCATTCATTCTTATTTCGTGAATTGATGACAATAGTGTAACCACGACACCACCTATCTACACAGAATATACGGGCATGTGTTCGCTAATTAACACCACAGTCTTGTATGTAATCGTGTTAGATAATCAACTATTTATATTTGGAAATTCCGAGTTACAAGAACGAGGATGGTTCAATAACATGTAAAGCCATGCCATACTACACATATCTTGGAAACTTAACACTGAGTAAAAAGTGCAAGTTTATGTCAGTTTAAATATATCTCTAATGATGTAAACACAGGGTATTTAAGTACTCATTGACACTACAATGTCTACAGAACAATTTACACCATTCTCGTGGACCGAATGTGGAAACGTCGCATTCACCGTGCCAATATTTCGATGACATTTACAGTTTGTAGTAAATTTACCGTTTGTTGTTTGTATATTATTGATAGATTTAAAAAAATATTGCTAATATTCATTGTCACGGTTATATGCGCTGAAACATGCACAAATGTCATTAACGGGGGAGTTGCCTCCTTAAAATATACCTTATAAAACAACAATTTTACGTTTTTACGACACTCTGGGCATTCAAGGACCAATTGAACAATACATCACTAATTGGCCCCACGGTAATTGCGGGGACATACGCTGCGAAGTACCCGTGGCTGTATACCGTTTAAAATGTAATCTTTCCTCCCAATTGTTAATTCAGTTAACACTGCACAAGATCACCCGCTCCCCGATGAGTCATGCGCTTGCTACGACTTCAAAAGATTGCTTTCTCACTACCCACTGTTTCAATAATAATCCGTATTTACGCGACATATTTCGCCTTAGTGTCTGCATGCTCGACTCCACCACACTCTGCTATTTGAATATAATTGCACTGGCAGTATTTTGTGTGTGGATGGTTGTAAAAACATGTTGTCTACGATGCGATATATTGTGACCAAGAAGGTGGAATGACCTACGACCTTTTACGAAATGTGTCGTCTGACGTTTACTTGGCAGTTGTTATAAATATCCACTTTGCTCGGCGAACGCCATGTAAGATATGGTGTACGTTTATAAGTTGAAGTCTATTGAGACAATTTGTATATTATTATTATCATTTTCGGATTAATAATTTGCGTTCAGGATTATAAACATGCTTTGACAGCAGACAATAATTCCTTTGACCTATAGTCTCGCTGCAGTGAAAAGCAAACTGGGAGCGGTCGTGTACTCAGCGCAGTGGGTCTCACCCCATCTCCTACCACGTGATGCCCATCAGAATCAATTCACAATAGACCACGCTTGATTTCAATACTATAACATCCATGTATACAAAGATAACGCACCAAACGCCCTGCCCTCAAATCAACAAGTCTATCTTCAATAAATCATCGCATTTCATGAGGTCATTTAAAAATAACTCCGAGAACAATTTCATCTAAACCTCATTTGAACTTGCAGCATGAAAGTGGAGACGGTGCAATATTTGTGGGAGTGGCCTCTATCGTTCATTGTCATTTCCCCGAGGTTTTACATGAAACGAAGGGGGCTTTTTATTATCGGTCCAGTTGTCGTGGCTGTCCCGTAATTATGGATTTTCATTAGACGAGTTCTATTTTAAGGTACACGTTTATGTAAGGTATTAATTACAGCGTAGTGTCAATACTGGGTGTCTACAATCAATACCGGAACCACGGACAGGGACATTATGGTCATGGGAATACTAGTATAGCGACGTAACGTAGTGAGTTCTGTTCTACGTCGGGGATACATTAGCGTAATTAAAAGAAACGTACCTTGTACGAATACACTGATCAGCCCCGCAAATCGCCACATTTTTCTTTCCTGTTGTATTCCTGCTGGAGTTTGCGACGGTAAATGTCAGGAAATAGAATCGGTAGTGAAACAAAGATAAATCCCGTACAAATCCCGGTTCTCTGCTCAACAGGGAACGTGCAGTCGCGATGTTGCCACAGCTGATGGAGCGATGATCGCCGTTCGTAATTCACCGGCTTTAGAATGCCCCGATTGGAGAAGACGTTAAGAGGGGCGCTCCAAATTAATTTACGTCGACAGGAGTGGCAGCTCTAGTGGGAGGGGTATAGAGTTCGGAGAAGTATGACTGTCAGCGTGCATATGGTATATATCCAAACATAATGTAATACACGAGCTACATATGCGATAGACGCCGCGGTGGCAGAGAAAAGAACACACAATAAAGTAGATTGATCCCATCAAAGATGAAGCTGCCACCCCTCTGAAAGAAATTAGCCACGCCAGTCAGAAGTTTACGGATAGGTAGAGAGGTCACGGCTGTTCGCATTGTTAGCACCGTATTCATTAAAATTCGCCGCTGCACCGTTGGCCACATTTGGGGTTTATCTTTTATTCGTCGGTCGTATTATGTATGTGGGAATCAATTCGCTTGTCAATAGTAGTACGTGCAATAGTTATAGTTCGATTCAATTCCACTCATGCATATACAGTGAAAAAAAAAAAAAACCAACTTACTCGTTGACTTGTTTGCTTCCTCTACTTTGTCCGATTGTTGTTGTTGTTTCAGTCATCAAATGCATACAGTGAATAGCTCTGTGTGACTTCTTTCGTTTTTCGTGCGTAGCGTGTCTAATCAATAGTTCACATCACAGTTTATAGAGGGACTGTGTCCACATGTACCGATTTACGCGGCACGAGAGTGAACACGTCCTGTTCGATGCGACTTCCATAGGGGATGCCGTTCAAGCTACGGACATCGAGTTACGAATATCGAGTTATGAAAACACCGAGTTATGAAAATGATCACGCCCATATTTTAGAAACCACGCCCACTTTTGCGAATCATGTGCAAAATATAAATTGATGTTCAATTACCAGTTAAGAGAACTTTCGAGTTACAGGCAATATATATTTTTGTTTTTGTTGAACGTCTTCATTTAGAAGATCTAACTTTAATAATTAACAGTTGACCGAACTCAGAGGTACGGGCAACATAGATTTTTCATTCAAATGAGCCTGTCTTGCGCCCCTGACCCGTAAGCTGTATTTTCGTGCAATAAATGTGTATGTGTAGAGGTAATAACTAATCAGGTTGCATCTCAGTGACGTTCCAAATACGACATGTGACCATTGTGTAACGGTCTCCTGTGTGTATCAACAATCATTGTGTGGTATAGTAACACACGAACAGGTGACGATCTCGTTGCAATAACTGCATATCTCGATCCCCAGTTTTTCTTGCAAAAAAAAAAAATCATCCATTGTATATACGTGTGGGAGAATTGCTAAGTCGGGAGAATCGAACATCGACAAAATGATGTTGCGAATATCGCCACTTGGCGGCGCACAACATATGTATACCCTATCAGAGAAGTTATGCTACAGGAATATCATTGAAACGACGCGTTGCACATATTACATTCCAGGGGGCCTGAAATTAATCCCCACGGGGTCCAGTACTGTACATGGGAGGGGGCAACAGCTTGCTGAATCTTCGGTTTTACTTTTTCACTCGCTCGCTCATTGAAACACCGACCGCTCGCCCAAACACTGATCACTGGCACATGAGTTGTCGAAATGGTGGGTTTGATAGTAAAGTGTGAACGTACTAAGTACAACTAGTATTAACTATTATTAAATTTTGAACGTCACTTCAAATCTATTAGTTGTATGACACTTGTCTCGTGAAAGCAACTGAACTGGGACATCTTGTTATGTGTTTTGGGTGCTTGTTCTAGATGTAATATTTTAAATTATTTTAATGAGACAGCTACATGAAAAAAGCATAGGTAACTCATTTTGACAGATCAGAGAAATGAGGAAATGTTAATGATTAATTTCAAAAATAACGATATCACTGAATCCACGTTGGTCGGTCTGGTAAAATTTGACATTCAATTTTCAAAAATAAGTCACGATCATTGAATGAGTTCAGTCTTTACCGTATACGTACAGTAAAAGTGTTCCCAAAAAAATATTTTTGACTAAAAACGACCACATGCCCTGAAAAAATCGAACAGAGCTTGACATGTATGAATAATTTATTGGGCTTAAAAAAACGCGTCAAATATAGTAATAGCCATAAATATTTGGTGGCCTGTCGATGAACAATTCGAAACTCAGGATTCATACGGAAGTCCTCCAGGGCTGAAAATCATCGACCCTACTCTGGTTTACTTTATTTCCCAACTTGCAGAGAAAACTGATTCGCCGTGGACTCTAATGTATCTCAGCCTAGTATTTTTGAACTGAGGTCAAATTCCATCCGTTTGTCAAAATGTACCGATGTTTTTCAGCTAATAATTTTGAAGCCTGTCGCAGCACAAAAACACTATGTGAATCGACGCCGGAAATTGGATGGTAAGACGACCCTTCACTTAGCGTCAAATATGCTTTGTTACAACATCATTGATTGGCTGAAAGTCACATGATCGAAGTACGACCTGAGTCACAGAACCATATTTGTCCGTATTATCAACAGGACCTCGCAAAAGAACCACACCCACATTTTCAAAATCTTTTTTAGCGGGGAAATTGCCAACAAATGTCAAAAAACTCGTGAATTTCATGGATTCGAATAAATA